CATGTCACTGTCACAGTTTCAGGGTAACTGTACCTGTATTCCCCCCACTATGGTCCACCAAGAGCACCCACTTTAATTTCTGGCTCCTAGCTGACACCTTTCCTGGGCAGAGACCCACATCTTGCTCCTTCTTGACCAGGCATATTAAGGCTGTACAGCTCCCTGGTTTACCCTGTGATATCCCCAGCAAACCTGACTGCCTACAAGGCTGCACTGTGGTTTCTCTCCAAAGGCAATGAGGAGAGTATTGTCCTCAGTTATAAATTACCACACAGCTCCTTCTAAGCAAGCACATTTATTCTTAAGGTAAAAGCAAGATAGAGAAAACACATTAAAGCAATAAAAGAACCCACACACATGCTAAAATCCTTATCAAAGGTCAACCTAACTCCAACCTAGGGCTTTGGTAGGTTTCAGTCCTTCAAAACCAACAACTGGGTTTTCCCGATGGTTACACATTCATATCTGTCTTAGATCCAGAACTGAGATCAAGCCAATCAGTCAATTTTTTATACAGCTTGGGCCTTTGATCTTGGCCTTGTGTAACAGGTAATCAACAGACATAGCTTCTCCTCAGGGCATAGCTTCAAAAGGCTGGGTTTTTGCGTACCTAGAGTGGGGGATTTGATTAACCTCTCTCTCGGGAAATCAACTTAATAGTTATTGTCCCAAAAGTCCATACTTGTCTGGCATATTTTCACTATAGTCTTTTGAACTCCCAAGTCTCACATCTGTCACATCTTCCCCCTAGAGAAGTTACAGACAATCCCAGCTCACAATGATACATAAACTTAATACAATAAGGGCTTTCAATTATATTGCAGGAAATTGCCATATCTGTCAGTCACAACATATGTTTGGATTAACACATAGAGTAGCAGAGAATACAGCAATAAGAATTTGTTTTCAGGGAGGAAGGCTGTCCCACTCAGCCAAAAGTCAGAATTTAAAATTCTTTTTGTCTTCTGCTGCACTTCTGCTGTGATGAGCAATTTGCAGTAATGCGCTACAGTCTGATTTCTTTGTAAAAGCAAAAAGTATCTTTTTCCACTCAGTACACTGGCCAAAAAAGGTGTAAGCAGAGTTAGGATGAGCTCCACCCTGACATCTGGTGGTGAGGTGTGGCAAGTTGTGGAAAAGAACTTCAGGGGCTGACCTCATTTGCATAGGCACACCCACACCGCCTAGAATGAGGCCATAGCTGCCCAAATAGTCACTTGGCTGCTGTGGGATCCCCAGTGTCTCTGTTATTGGGGCAGGAAGAATAAATTGTTATTACCCTGACTATGGGAACTGTGCTTGGAACTGTACTGGGCCTTTTGTTATGATGGAGGGACTCGCCATCAACTAAGTAGCACTCGCTAGGCAAGGGACATGGGTTCTAAAACTCTGTGAATTGAGAGAGGCTGGGAACAGGTTTTAATACTTGGTGGTATGGGCCTCCTGGTGAGGGCCTTACATGCTAATTGCACTTCCTCTTCTCTCCACAGTGGAATATCAGAGCTAATTTTGATTCCATTAGGAGGCTAGTTACAGGCTGCTGAGCTGAGTTCACTTTGCGCTAATGGTGCACCAACACTGAAATCACAAAAGAGCTGGAATCACTAAGTGTTGTGTTAAGTAGTGGGGGAGCCTGAAGTTATATGGTAGAGCAGTTTGCGGGACAGTGAGCGGAGCGGAGCGGAGCAGCTGGTGGAGTACAGCAGTTTGCGGGATGGCGAGCAGAGCGGAGCCCCATGGAGAGGTGGGGCCATCAGTGTTGGACTATGTAAGGTGCCCCTTAACCCCTCCCCACAATCTCCACCCAGGGTTGGGAGGTAAAACTTTGCAGATAAACTTTTGAACTCTGGGGCCACCCTGACCAAGGACAGAGACTTTTGGGTCGTTGGACTTTTGGGACTTTGGGTGATTTTGGGTTGCTGGACTCAAGAACCAAAGGGAAAGGACATGCCCCAATTTGCTTGGGGTGGGTTTTGCTCATGGGTTGTGTTATGAATCCTGTTGGTGGTGTTTCCCCAACATAATGCCACATTGTTTCTCTCTGTTATTAAAAGGCTTTTTGCTACACTCAGACTATGTGCTTGCGAGAGGGGAAGTATTGCCTCTTGGAGGTGCCCAGCAGGGGTGGTATATATTTGTCCCAGGTCACTGGGTGGGGGCTCGAGCCGGTTTTGCATTGTGTTATTGGAATGGAACCCCTAGATACTGAACCCGGCCCTTGTTGCTGCCAACTCTGACAGGCAGAAGGGTTACAAAGGTAAATTACTCATTTTGCTCTAGGGGCCGACTTCCACTCCTATTGAAGTAAATGGGAGTTTTGTGACTAACTACCATTGGAGTGGGAGGAGCAGACTCTCAATAAGAGATTTTCTTCAAAGAGCTGCTTCTGCTCTCTTGTCTTATTCCAAGAGCTGCCATTTTTTATGAATACAGACAGGAGAGTGTCTAAGACAGTCTTTCAAAATCACAACCAACTGACCTATGGGAATTGATCCAAACCCCACAAACCAGACTAGTGAATTTCAGCTATAAAATTATTCCAAGTAGGAGAAGGCCCTGACTCACTTTTACAGTTCCACTCAACCCTCTGCACTATTTTAGCCAGCTGATCAGCCGGCATAAAGACAGCAGGAGTGGATGGATCAAGGACTTGCTAATGAGTTACACAGTCTACATTTCTAGACTGTTTAAATCCAGTGGCCAAATATCATCACCATCTGATTGATGGTTGTTTGACAGCACATCTGAAATGAGTCGTTGGACACAGTCCAGCTCCTAATGGACAGGTGTCCATATCACAAAAAAACACCATCACACTTGACAGTCAGTCACCACTCTCCCCTTGCTGGCTGTCTCAGCAAAGAACTGAATGTACGTACCCTTTTTCCTCCCTTCTGATGAGATCTATCCCCAGCTCCCATCCTGTTTGGCTTCCAGTTACAATTTTAAAGAAACAGGACACATCCTCATAATCAAACCAATGTCAGACAGCTTCCACTGTGCTTAAAGAAAGGTTTTCAATCTCCATGACTCAATTTATGGCCTCTGTGAGAGAATCACTCATGAAGCTCTTACTATATTTGATCATACAGAGACTAGGATCACCGGGAACAGCCGAGCAAGGGAGCCAGCTGTTCAAGCCAAAGTTTCCCTTTTTGTATCAGCGCAATTCCACTGAAGCCAATGGTGTTGCCCAGATGTAGCTGAGAGACCTTTGCCACAGAAACTAGAGATGCAAATACGACCTATATTAGGTCATATCTTCCATCACTTTGACAATGCACAATTGTACTTTTACTGGTGTTTTGTAATACTTCTCTTATCCCCAGCAGAAAAACAGAATAGCAACAAGCAGTTTTTTCTTTCTTTTTTTAACGCATGAGGCGCAAGAATCAGACGAGGACAGCCGCCAAGAGGGCCAAGAAAAATGACAACAATTTTTTTTTCTTGGAGGAGCCTTTCCCTCTTTCCTAAGTTTCTCTGGAGGACCACTAAGTGCAACACAGCGAACATTGCATTGCAACATCTTCATGCCACATTGTGGCTGGCATCATTTCATAACTTCCTGATGTAGTGAGGCAGTCTGAAACTACAATTCAGGCTGTATGATTCATATCTTGATCCATTCCTGGGGCTTGGGGGATGTTTGTTTGGCTTTTTTTTAATTGTGCATGACTCTTCAAAATCTAATAGGTCCTCCAAAAAACAAGATGAGTAGCACACCCACTTCAGGATCCCTTGACAAAGACTCATGTCTAGTTCAACAGCACTTGCCTAGACAATTTTTTAAGCAGATGTTGCACCTATGACTCTGTCTCCCAGAAAATGAACTGTTTTATTGAACGTGTGCATGTTTTCGGGCCATAAAAGGCCACCCCCTGGCTCAATGCATAACAAAATGCAATCACATTTCCTCTCCTGGAAAAGCTTTGCAGGGCAAGGAAATAGGCAGGGAACACCTCCCCCCTCCCCCCCCACCTTTCCTGCTGTTCTGGCCAGGAAATGGGGAGGAAGGCAAGTGGGAGGCCAAGGTGAATTTAAAACTATCATATGCTACAGTGCTTGTCCCTGAGGGGGAGCTCGGATTTGGGGTATTTCTTGGTGGGGGGGACTCCCAGAGCGCCCCCCCCCCCCAGCCAGCTAGGGATCTGGCTGGGGCGGGGGGGGAGCTCCCTGAGACGGGCAGGGGTTTATTGAGGGGCTCTCTGAGAGCACCGAGACCAGCCGGATTTCGGGTGCATTTTGGAGGTAGTGGGGGGGGGGGGCCGGCTCCACCTTAACGAGGGCGGAGTGGGGGGCGGGGCAGCCGCGAGGTCACGTGATTCCGCCACCGAGGCGGAGCCGCCGCCGCCATTTTGTCTGGGACGGGGAGTGGAAATGTGAAAGGGAAAGCCGGAGCGGAGCCCAGGAGACCAAGCGGGGCGCGCGGCGGAGAGAGCCCCCCCCTCCAGAGAGCAGTTCGGCCCGGGCCCTGCGAGCACCCTAGGGAAGGCGGCCGGGGGCTGGGCTACCCTGGGGCCGTAGCGGCTTGCTGGCCCCCCGGCGCACAGCAGGGGCCGCAGGGGACCTTGATTCCCAGGCTGCGGGCGGGCGGGTTGGTTGGTTCCCGGCGGGTGTCAGTCCCGTCTCTCCCGTCCTCGGCCGCCTGCTCGGGGGTGGGGGGCAGGCCGCGGGGACCCCAGGCTGGTGAGGGGGGCCGGCGGAGCGGAAGATGTCGGGCCAGTCGATCACCGACCGCATCGCGGCCGCCCAGCACAGTGTCACCGGGTCAGCCATCTCCAAAGCCGTCTGCAAGGCGACGACCCACGAAGTCATGGGGCCCAAGAAGAAGCACCTGGACTGTGAGTATCCCCTGTCGCCCGCCGGGCCCAGCGCCGCCTCCGCAGGCCCGGGGCGGGGGAGCATCGCGACTCCCCCCGGTATGGCCGCTGAGTAAGCCCAGGTGAAATGCCTGCCCTCGGGGCCCACAGCGGCAGCGCCGCGCCAGGAATAGGACTCACGATTTCTGTCAGTCACCTGCTCTGCCTGTTAGGAGCGCCCTTTAGAAACCACATTGCTTCGCTCTCTGTCGCCCCTGCGGTAATGGGGCGGAGAAGAGAGGCGGGAGGAGGTGACTGTGCCGCCCCAGCGCCTTAGAAGGGCTACCTGAAGCCGTGACCGTTTCGGGAGGTTGAGATTCTACCCTCTGCAAGCAAGGGAGCTTGGAAACGTCTCCAAAAAACACACCTGGGTGTTACTGCGCGGAGACCATTGTTTGTAATTAGTGATGCTATTCAACTCCCCTGTTCGTGCCCAGCATGAGACTTGTAGGCACTGCTCTTGCTGTGTAGGAAATAGGATGACTTTTAAGAGAGAAAGCAGATGAATATGGTACCAGAGGTACTGTATGGAGGCCCTTCAAAATGATGAAATACCTAACCTTTAATAGCCACTTTCCTGGGTATTTTATTTCTAATATACCAGATTTTTTTTTCTTTTTCATTTTCTGCTGCCTGTGGTAGATTGAAGTTGAGAGGTAAACCTGAAACCCATAAATTGTAACGTAACAGGAAGATAAAAAATGGTGAGAGTGAGGTTCTTAGTTACCTGAAGGTTTCAGCTGTTGACTTGATTAGTGCATTGAGTGCATCACATAAAATAAAACCCAGTCTGATGTAACTCACAAAATGAGGAAATGTAAGTTGCCTGACATTCTGTCTTCAACTTGCCACCACAGTAACTTCCACTGAGATTATATTCAGAGTAGCAGCTGTGTTGTATCCGCAAAATGAAAAGGAGGACTTGTGGCACCTTAGAGACTAACAGATTTATTTGAGCATAAGCTTTTGTGAGCTACAGCTCACTTCATCGGATGCATTCCGTTCTCCCCACTGTATTGTCCACTGAATGCATCCAAAGAAGTGAGCTGTAGCTCATGAAAGCGTATGCCCAAATAAATTTGTTAGTCTCTAAGGTGCCACAAATCCTCCTTTTCTTTTGAGATTGTATTGTGTTCATCAGATTCTTTTGGCTGTCATTTGATCCAGACCTCTATTTAGAGGTATCCGTGTTCTACAGGGATTTGTGTAGAAAGAATTCCAAGGTTTGACATTTATTTTTCTCTGATTTTTCTGGTATTAAGAACAAATAAAAAAGCATAATTCGGACTGCATATGAGAAATGAGGAGATCCTGGGAGTGGTTGTAATGTAGACTTTAGTGACAATGTCTTATTCATTGGAATTTTTCACAGAAGCCATCATGGTGTAATACACCCTAGCTGTTTTTCAGAGGCTAGGCTTAAACTTTTACTGAGCATTTGGATCACAGGTATACAGAACTTGGGGCGGGGAGTATGTGTGACAGCTTTCCCTCTGTGCAGATCCACAAAGGTTATGAGTTATTACACCTATAAGCTATGGAGATATCCTTGGTTCTTTAGCTTATGCTGGCAGCTCATGCTTTTAGGTCTGGAGGTCCCTGGTTCAATCCCTGGTATGTTGGCCAAGAGAGCAATCATCACATAAGCAGGTAGGATGTTAAAATATATGATCATGTAGCTGAAACATCCATAAAGTATGTTTCTTAGAAGTGTGGTAAATATATTTCCTGCACAGAACAAAGCAGAAATAGGGCTTTGGTTAAAGTGAAAATTACTGTGGTTCTCCTCGTTGCTGCTCAAAAATGAATCCAGGACTAGTATATGTCTGTTGAGGGTTTCTACAGTTGTCTGGGACTATGTCCAGCCTCAGTGCTCTTCCGCAAACTAATGCTAAATATCTCCAGATACACTCACATTTAAATAGTAAGAAAAGTACTTAATGTTAAGAAAACATTGTCATAGGCAAAGACCTACACATATGATGTGTGTGTATGTAAGCAGTTGCATAGTGCTATGGAGCTTTGACTGTGTTTCTGTTGGGCTGCTGAACAGTATGGTCGCGTAATTAATCTTTGTTAATTTTTGTTAAGTCAAGGAATCAGAGCTGTGTGAATGGAAATATTCCATTTTTAATGTAGGTCACAATGTCCCAAAAGGAAATCAGCTGCTCTATTTTTCATAATGTTAAGCTATTAGACCAAAGTAAAATAACTTTTATGGTGGTAATTCTGCATTCCCAGTGGAACATTGAGATTTTCGTAACTTCCCCACTTACTTTATTCTCCAGCTTCTCTTCCCACCCCCCAATTTTATGTTGCAGTACTTGGGTAGGATTAGATATCTTTTCTTTTTAAAGTAGAACAGAATCACCCTCTTACATGCACACCTCTTTCCTTGTTGGCTCTGTCTTTAGCATGCATCTTATCCAGTGGGTCGAATGTTCTGTCTGCTGACTTCACAATCCCTGCTTCTTTGTTTTCAGAACAGATCACTTGCTTGGTAATATAAACTCTGCCACTAACGCACTGGGGAGAAAATAAACTGACCTAAAACTAGTTTTTAAAAAATAAATAAAACTTGTATTAAGGCTAGGAACTTATATAGTAGGCAAAGTTTTAGCCCAAGAAAACTGATTTAAATATTTGATTGGTAGTATTTACCTAGGATTCAAATGACATTAAATTATTTGACTCAAATAGAAATTTAAAGAAACATGATCAAAGCCAAGATTTTTTTTTCCTTTTTTTAAGTATACAGAAGTCAGGACATACTTGAGGAAAATTAAGGAGGGAAAAAGTTGCAAAATATTTACCACTGCTGATTAATCAAACAGTTAAAATTTACAATCTGTGAGAATATACAAGTTTTAAATGTCACGGAGGAATGGGGAATAGCACTGCAATAGCAAAGCTAGTGAAAATTGTACTATACATTGCAAAATTAGGCCCTGATCCCGCAGCCCAATCTGCACAGGCAGATTTGTATGCTGTGTAGACCCTCTGACTCACTGGGACTCTGTGCAAGCAGAATGGTCCATCTGCCTAGATCTGATTGCAGTCGCACTGTTGCGCAACCCAGTGGTAACAAATTAGAGTATGTAGGGAGGAAAAGTCCAATATTTTCTGTTTCATGCTTCAAAGGAACTGTTAAACCCACTTTTACTCACTATTGTTTTTCTTAAAATGTTCAATACCTTGACACTTCGAGATGCATGCTGATACCACTGTTTTACGTGAGTGACCCATATTAGGCTCAGCAGCCGATAAAGTATACAGTTTTCCCATACTAATAGCCTGTAACCAGGGGAAAAATTATAACATCAAAATATATCTTTGTATACAAATATGTTCTCATCTCAGTAGAAGTATTCTGGTGGGTCTCAGTTAACTTTTGGATTATTTCTTATCTTGTATGCCAAGCTTTTTTTACTTTTACAATATATTTTAGTGTGTTCTTTGCATATCCGTATTCTTGGGCATTTCTGGTTTTTTCTGAAATTCATTTTGGCATAAGAGAAGAGGGTGTAATTTTTTTGTCATGTGAGTAGAAGATGACTGTGCAGTATAATATGTATGTAATAGTGACAATTAAATATGTAATCCAGTTTTGGTTCATGTTGAGACAGCACCCATTTTTAAATGCTCTTTTGTCCTGCCTATGGTGTCACAGTCCAGTATTTTTGCACCAGTCTATAATACCTTCTTTATTGATCCTCAGCATTTACTCATAAAGGGTGTGTGTTGTCATTTCTACATGTGCACACAGCTATGCTTTAATTTCATTTTTGTACATGGGGTGGGACTGGGCCCTGAGATAGTTAACACAAGGGCAAAGGGATATTCTTGTCAGACCCCCCAACCTCACATAATCTTTCAAGAAGGATGGGGGAAGGTAAATCAAAGAGTTTTTAATGGAAGATTTTATGTCTGTGTATTCTAGTTTCCAATCCATGGAAGAGGTTCAATGGATATCTTTCATTGATATTTTCTAAGTTTTGAGTGTTTCACTCTGCAACCTTAATGTTCTTTTAAAATAGTTAGTGTATGTAATAATAAATATTGAAGGTGATTGCATCAAAACTGCAGTGGGTTAAAGTGTGTTTATGGCATCAGGCCTGCTAATTTTGGTATGCGTTTCAGTGGACTTTGTCTAAAGAGGTAAAGATTGGAAACTAGGGGTGAGACTTCAAAAACCGCTCAACTTTGTCCTAACAAATCAATGCTGAGTGCTTTTGACAATCCCACCCTAAATGTAGGGTAGATGGTGATATTCATTACATAGGTCACTGGTTTAGACTTGTGAGGAGGGGGGAAATGCTCTGTTTCAATTTTTATAACTGAAATATAAATATCACAATATTTAACTTGATAGTTTATTTGCTTTTAAGAAGATTGTCATATTTATGACCAGACTAATTTGTGAGGTGGCATAAAAATACCTAGTGGCTTTTATAGTTATTTATAGTTATAGCTATTACCAGCAGGAGAGTGGGGTGGGGGGGAGAGAAAACCTTTTGTAGTGATAAACACCCATTTTTTCATGGTCTGTGTGTGTAAAAACATCTTCTGTATTTTCCACAGTATGCATCCGATGAAATGAGCTGTAGCTCACGAAAGCTTATGCTCAAATAAATTGGTTAGTCTCTAAGGTGCCACAAGTACTCCTTTTCTTTTTGCGAATACAGACTAACATGGCTGTTACTCTGAAACTTTTTATGGTTCAGTTTATTAGATTAATCCTGATTTTACCTGAACTCTAAGGAGGGAGGTGAGATAGTGTTGTATGTAATGTGAAGTCATTTGAAACTGTGAAAATTGTTTCCTTCACCAACTTCCAGTTTTTAAGAGTAGAACCTTTTCTGTATCAATGTATCGAAACAGAATAGTGAACAGATTGAATTTTGTGACAGTGTACTACTAGTAGAGACAGGAATAACGCATACATATACAGTGAAATATCTTGATGTTTCGAATGCAGTAAAAATGTTACAAAAGTTCAGCCACAGATTTGAAAGGGATTTAAAAAATCTGTAGTGAAAAAAAAGTCTTTCAACTAATTTTATTAAAGAGTTTGGAGTGACCATTTCTAATAAGGTGGAACAAAAACTGAGCAAATATAGTTTGTGTCCTGAACGGTTTAATAAAGAGAACTTCAGTGAAGACTGACAGGCTCTTGTTTAACTTCAGTTTTGCATCTCCTATTGATTGGAAAGCTTTCCAGTCAGTTATGCTTTCAGGTTGGTCAACAGTTGGTGAAGGGACAAGAGATAACGATTGTCTGTGCAACAGTTGAACTCTACTTTTTAAGGCTTTTTGAAACAATTTTCTTAATTGGCAAAATTGATTTGTAATTCTTAAAGTAAGCTCGATATATCTATTCAATAACTAGATTCAGTGCTTAATTCAAAAATACCTTTTCATGTCATTTTGATGTCAATGTGAATTATAAAATGGCATAGAGCACTTATTTGGCTAACTCCTTCATTGCAAGGTATTCAAACTTAGAGGAACTAATCAACCTGATAACATTTTAGTTTCTTAAAACATTGATCAAATGGATTAAAAAATGACATAACATACTAATTTTTCCATAAGACACATGCCTCATTCAGCTCACAGGATGGAGTCAATGGATGTAGTGATTGAATTAGCATCTATTCGATATTTTGTTTTATTTTCGCTGTTCAATGTGTGGCCCCGTGCCTTATTTACAACACACTATTCAAATCCTGCTCTGAAGATAGAATGGTTAACTTCCTCATGGTTTATGCTATTCATCACAAAGGTATCAAAGTGCTTCACAAATATTAATGAATTTATTTTCACAATGCCCTTGTGAGATGAGGAAATATTATCCCTATTTTACAGATTGGGAACTGAGGGGCCATGAGATTAACATCTTGGATTATAAACTCTTTGAGGCAGGAACCAT